AAGTCTCAGGGTTTGAGGTTCTCAGCCCCTCTGCAGCTCAGAGTCAGTGCCCAAGGCACATCCTCAAGTCCAGCAATGAAAGCAGCTGGCAAAAGAGCAGGCCTTGGTGCCCCAGAGCAGGCCCTGGAAGCTTGGTGCATCCCCAGAAGTCAGAGTCAGCCACAGGAGAGACTTCCCAGCTACAATAAGCAAGATGAAAAGAATCCCTGGCATCCCAGGAGTGACCGACACACATCAGGCCAGGTTCTCATTACCCTCTTGGATCCGGCGGTATGGTACAGCTACCTGACATCCCCACCAGACAAGTGAGGAGACCCAGCTGCTCTGAGAAGTGACTGCCCAGGGCGCCCTGGCTGGAAGTGGCCAAGATAGGCCATAGAAGCCAAGTCCAGTGGGCTTTCTCCTAAAGCTGGGCGGCCCCTCAGCCTCTCCCTGTGCAGGAGGGAAAGGAGGGGGCCTGCTTCCCAGTGTGTGGACTTCCCGGAGAGCCTTCAGGCCCTGGGGATCTCCCTCTGTCGACTAAGGCCTCAGAACTCTCTGGGAGGAATAGGCACGCACGCAGACACACTCTCACACTTACACTGTGGTGTAAGAGGGGACACACCTGGATCCAGCGAATTAGAATCTGGGGTGAACAATGGGAGAGTGATTTTTTTTTTATCTCTGACATATCCCAGCCCCACTCACTTCCACAGTAAACACACATGAGCTTTCCTCTAAGGATTCCAAGGCGGAAGGCCACATTGAGATGCCTGGGCTTGGGGGGTGGGCACGGGACATACAGCTGGGGCTTGTCTGCAGAGGCCTACCTTCCTGGCAGCAGTCATCACAGCCAGCCCTTTCAAAGGCTTCACTATATACCTGACAGTAGGCCACAGCAGCGGTCACTCACTTGCCTTCCATCCATCCATCCATCATCCATCAAACAGTCAACAGTGCCTCCAATGTGTTGGGTCTGATTAAAGGTTGTGGGGTATACACAGCCTCTTGAGACGGAGGCCTTGGAACCCTAGAATCAAGCTGGGGCTTGGAAAAGGCAGGACCCCAGCCACCACTGCAGGCCCCAGCAGGAAAGGCCTCAGCAGCAGAGGAACAAAGACCTGAACCAGAGGATGGGCCAGAGAGACCAGTGGCTCCAAGAGGAGGTCCAGGGTCTGGTCAGCAGTGGGAGCCAAGCCCCTCCCTCCCCTTGCCCTGCAGCTGGGGAGGGGGAAGGCGGCCGGTAGACTAAGGGACCCCTAGACAGCTCTCAGGATAGTCAGCTGAGGGATCACTCAGCCTCTGGAGTCAGCTGGGGGAGGGCCAAGAGGTGGATTTTCCAAATGAAGAATTTCCTTCTCCTTCCCGTCTTCCTTTCCCCCAACTCTTCACTAAAAATAGAAGCTCAGAACTCTCCCAGCTCACACTCCCATCCTCAGTTTGGGCTGAGGATGCCATTTTCAAGACAAAGGGTGAGGGAGGGGAGTCTTGCTGCAAAATAACCATAATTTCCCGCGGTAGGAGTGGAGAGGTGAGCGCCACTTCAAAGGTCTGAGAGGACGTCCAGCGCACCTCCCTGTCTCCCCGCACCGGCTGGAAGACCTCAGGACTGGGGAGGGGGCCAGGACGGCTGGCTCCATCCTCTCTTCAGCAGCCCTACATTTTAACCTCCCCCAGCCGACCCCAAAGGCTCAGAATGTTTCTTCAGCTAACTTCCCAGCAAGCTGTCTAGTGGCTTCTGGTCCGCTCCCCTCCTCTTCCACACCCTGGACCACCAAGGGATGCCATGGGGACTGGAGAGGTGTCATCCCTCAGGGTCTCCACTCGGATGGCTGTGAGTGCTCTTCACCCACCTTCCTGTCACCACACGGGATCCCATAGGTGAGGGCGCACAGCTGGGTGCCCATGTGCTGTGTGAGTCAGAATTACTGCAGACATGTTAGCTTCTGAGGCCACGTTCTGCAGAGAAGGATGTGGCTGAAGGCAGCCGGAAGGCAGCATCCAAGAGCCCAGTTCCCGGGTGAGACGCAGAGAGATGCTAGCACAGAGCAGTTCCCGGGGGAGGGATCCAGAGTGGGAGGTGGAGCAGCTGGACACCTCCAGGCTCCACACCAGCCTGGGCATGAGGCATGCATGTGTATTCATGGGACTAAGGGTAGGAGGTGTGGGTAGGGGGAAGCTCCTGACCATCCTAGTCCCAGCCAGTCATGCTCATGGACAGAGGTGCCAGAACTCCCTGGGGTGGGCCTGGAAATTCACTCCCCTGCCCCTCACAGGCCAGTCGCAGGCCCCCAGCCCAGGGGAATTAAACACAAAACCAAAAAACTGCCCAGCTCTTTCACACCAAAGACAAAGACAAACCCTGTTTGTCTTTTGGCTAATCTGTGGCCTGCTCACTCCAGCAGCTGGGCTCTGGGCACGTGCAGACATGTATTTGTGTGTGTGCTCGTGTGTGCTCGTGTGTGTGGTGGCCAAGACCAGGCTATGCACTCTGGGAACACAGATGGTTAGCCCCTGGAGGGTGGCTGCTCATGGCCTGGAGGCTGACACAGAAGCCTCCCTGCCCCAGTGGTGGGGACCTGGGGAGGCTGAGTCCAGGGCTGGGAGCAAGACCTGGGAAAGCCCAGTGGGCAGAAGCCATGGGTCACTGAAGAGGTCTTGGGTGCGGCCAGGGAGAGGGATCACCTCCCTTTCTGATCTCCTAGTTCCCTGGGGGCCCCTGAGAGTCCACTGAGTCCAGGGCTGGGAGCAAGACCTGGGAAAGCCCAGTGGGCAGAAGCCATGGGTCATTGAAGAGGTCTTGGGTGCAGCCAGGGAGAGGGATCACCTCCCTTTCTGATCTCCTAGTTCCCTGGGGGCCCCTGAGAGTCCAAAATCCCAGACTGCGGGGAGAGATAGGCCTAGCAAGCACTTCCAAGGCTCTTAAACCTCTGGGCTCAGTGAAGACAAATGTTAGGCATGGGAGGGCCTCGCCACCTCGTGGGGACATCTGGTACTCCTCACTAAGCCCTTGGCCAACCAGTCTGGAGGGGAGAGGGAGAGTCAACTGGATGGACCACCCACAACGGGTTGGGCTGGCACTGGCTACCCTCACATTCTCATGAGAACAATGGCTAGTGAGGAAACCCACCAAACCACCCACCATCCACCATGGCGAAGGGGCAGCCTAGGCGGCCGCATCCCCACCTGCAGAGGCCCACCCTGATGCCATGCAATGCAGCCTGACCACATTTGAAATACCTGAGAGGAAGGTTTGCAGGAAGGAACCTTGAAGCCCATCTGCTCTAAGGACACTGAAGCCCAGAGAGGGAGTGGGACTCTGCCCAAGACTCCACAGTATCTTTGTCACAGAGAGGAAAGTGGGACTGAGGGTCCTGACTCTAAAGCTGATGCATTTTCCTAAGAGTCCAAGACAAGGTGGCCAGACTGAACCCCAGCTCTGCTCCCTGCCCCCAGGAAGCCTGGAATAAGGGCAGTACAGTAAGAGTTCTTGCCACAGGTCAGTAAGGGGAGGGCATCTGGGCTGCTTAGAGTAGATGAGGCTGCAAGCAGAGATCCAGGATAATCTAGACCTTGGTATTAAAAGGCAATAAATGATACTAGCATCTAAGGAGCACTTGCTGCAGTGATAGCACTGTAATGAACTTTTACGGACATTAGGTCGCTTAATACAATGGTCCTTTGGGGTAGGTGCCATTATAATCCACATTTCTTGGATAAGGAAACTGAGGCACAGAGAAGAGAAGCAACTTGCCCTGGGTTATCGGCTGGTAAGTGGCAGAGCAGGGATCTGAGCCCAGCGATTTTGACTCCAGTGAGGATGAGGGTTCTGCTGGGTGAGGTACGAAGATAGTTGCTCACTCACTCCTAGGGGACCCCGCAGGCAGCTGCCAGCTCAGGACTAATGCATGCCCTCCAGTAGAGGAGCTGCCACAGGCTGCCCAGCAGGCACGGCCTCGGTGCGCCCTCTGCTGTGCACAAGGAGGATCAAAAAGAGTTCCTTTCTGCACAGATACAGAGCTGGGTCCTGGGGTCAGCTGGCAGGGGACCATGCTCCCTCCTCCTGGGTATGGGCCAGGGGCTGAGGGCTGGCTGCAGACCACCACCACTGCAGAGCTCCCAGCCCAGCCCGCATCTATCAACTGAAGAACAGGCTTCCCTGCATCCCTGATTTCTCAGGGCTTTCCTCTCTTGGAATCTTGCCTATCCCTCCCAAAGGCAGGCTTGTCTTGAGCCCACCCCAATGAGGACCAGTACTACAGGCCAGATGGACAATGCCACTTGGGCCCATGATGGGAGCTGGGGCCCATTCTGAACATTGCCATGTTGGCAAGGCATAGAACTGAGAATCCAAAGGGGAGACAGGGAAAGGACCCATCTGCAAGGGCCATGGGTAGGACAGGCTGTGAGCTGGGCCCTGAAGGATGGATATTCTCTGAATGGCCCAAAGGGGAATAAGGGGAGTAAAGACTGGGGTCAGTGTGGGCAAAAGCATGGAGAAGGAACAGGCATGTGGGCATGTCCATCAGGGACAACTCGGTTTGGAGCTGGGCTTGCCATTGAGTGAGGCTCAGTGAGAGGATGAGACAGCCCCAGGAAATAAGGGCAGTACCTGAAGTTTGAGTTAACTGCCTCAGGAACACCCTTGGGCCTAGTAAACCAGGGAGCTTGTTCTGGGCCCTGTATTAGAGGAGAAATTAATAAAGCATTAATAAAGAACCCACATTTTATTTGTATCTGCCATTGCCATGTACACAGACGCTCAGGTGGGGGAGGGGCGGTGGGTTCTGGAGGAAAGAGGCATCGGAAGGACGACCCAGAGTTCAAGAGAAGGTCCTGTGACCCTGAGCTAGGGACTTCATCTGGCTGGAAACTGCACTGTGCTTCCTCCCTCTCCAGGCCACCTGTGAATCCACATGGGTACTCCTATTTTAAAAAAGATGACCGGTAAAGGGATCTTAACCCTTGACTTGGTGTTGTCAGCACCACGCTCACCCAGTGAGCAAACCGGCCATCCCTATATGGGATCCGAACCCGTGGCCTTGGTGTTATCAGCACCGCACTCTCCCAAGTGAGCCACAGGCCGGCCCAGGTCCTCCTATTTTATACCAGATCCCTCCCTCCTCTCCCCATGAACTAGCCATGGGCAGGAAACCCAACCTCCTCTCTTTAGTGTTTCAGCTTCTTTTCCTGCTCTTCCCATCCCTGAAATTCTGTTCTTGGGAATAGAGAACCCATAGCCTCTCTCACAAGCCTCCCACAGAAGCCTCCTCATAACCCAGGGTGCACACAGTCTCCTGACAACTGGTCACGCCAGCAACCCTGGGGCTCTCACAGCTGGCTGTGTCTGAGGGGGCAGCAGGCATGAATGCTTATCTGGGTAAGGCAGGGTTGGTGGTACCACTGTGGCAGGATATGGGGAGCCACAGGGCTTCTGGGGTATGCCTGACAGTGGGGGTAGAAAGGCCCAGGAAGCCAAGGACATGGGCTTATTTATCGAAGAAGTCCACATGGGCTCCAGACTTGAACATGTCTTTTTGCAGCAAGCTCAGCAGTTTTTGGGCTGACGCCATGCAATCCACCAGCTTCCCCTTTGTCTTCAGCTCTTGCAGACTTTTTCGCAAGTCTGGGTCCACGGAGGCCTCCCGGGCCAACTGCTGCATGTCTGTGTCCAGGGGACCTAGGGAATGAAAAGCAGAAGATAAGGGGACACAACCAAGGAAGGAACAGAAGGCCCTGTGTCCCTGCTGTGTGTGGGACTGAGTCTGGCCAGAAGCAACACTCCACTTGGCTGAAAGGTGTGGTCAGGGTTGCCAAAGGCTCCACTTTGTCACTATTGAATTCTGGACTCAAATTCCAAAGCCCACTGAATATGTCACCTGCTAACATCCAAGCAGCCCTCAAGGTCAATGTCCAGTTCAACTACCTCCAATAAAGCCATTCCCAGCCACCCCACCCAAAGAGAATTGTTCCCTTCTTTAACTCTTATAAGCACTTTCTATTCTTCATACAGGAATCATAGCACCCCAGAATTTGGGGTTAATGGTCCTCAGGGGCAGAAAATCATGAATCTCAGGGTTAGGAGACCACCCTCCTGATCTTTCAATGTCTTCCAACTATCTGTACATCCCTGATGAGAGGGGACTTGCTACCTTTGCAAACAGCCCATTCTATCTTTGGACACGTGTGAAAACATTCTGAGAATGAAACAAAAACCAGACTGGCCTCTGCCTTTGCTCAGGTCCTGGGCAGCACCCTCATAATGTCCAGGGCAGCCTCCTGAGATCTAACCTAGCTACGTAGCATTCTGGAGTCTGCTCTGCCCCCTGGCTGGAGTTTATACTTGGTCACTGTTGTCTGAGTGACTCCTAGGCTGAGCTCAGAGTGGGCGATGAGTTGAATGCTGGCTGCAAGAATACTCTGTGTGTATGTGTGTGTGTGTGCACATGCACGCGTGTGTGTTGGGGAGGAAGGGGGATTTGGGTACTGGAAACATGAGGAACAATTTGCAAGCAGGGTGGGATCCTGGCCCTGCCACATCTGGGCTTTCAGCAGGCCATTCTACCTCCTTGCCCCAGGATCTTGATTTCTACTCCAAAGGGGAAAAGATCTCTACCTAAGGTGCTCAGACATTCTACCACAACTCTGTCACTACCTTCTAACTGCAGCAACTCAGGCCTTGAATAAAAGCTGCACTATTAAGAAAGGGGAGCTGTGGCATCATGATAGGGTGGTCAGAAACCATACCAAGTGTCCTTCCATGAGGACAGAGGCCCTATCTTATTTATGCCAGCATCCCCCCCTAGCACATTTCATCCTGGGATAGTCAGCACTCAGTAAGGTCTGTCTGCTCTTCATTCAACTAACATTTACTGCAGACTGCCTTAGTGCCGTACTTTGCTAGGTGCTAAGGACATACAGACAAATAGTGCATGGCCCCTGCCTTCAAGGCTTTCCTGTCAATGAAGAGAAGCAAACAAGTAAACATATGAAGGCAATACAGTGTGATAAGTCCTATTTAACAATTAGGAGTACTAACAATTAGGACTTCACAGTTATGGATCATTTTCACATATATTATCTCACTCAGTCCTCCAAACTGCCCTGTGAGACAGGTAGCATCTTCCCCATTTCACAGGAGGAAATGGGGTACAGGCCCTGAATTCCAACCCCAGCCTTCTCTCAAACTCCATCTAATACCTTAGACCTTCCTGCCCCACCCTCCACTCCAGGCAACTCCCAACTCTCCATGTCCTCCATGACAGCTTCAACTTCTTTGTAGTCGGTGTTTCCCCTAAGGGGTGATGGTCATGATTCAGGGACAACATATTCTGTGGGTCCTTTCCTGCAGGGGTCAGACTAGGCCCCTTGCCCAGCCCCCAAAGGAAAGCTAGCTGGTTCTGGGGGACAGGGATGGCAGTACTTCCCACTTACCTGGGGCATAGCTCAGCACCCTCACACTAGGTTCCTCTGTGGCCAGGACCTGGAACATCATGTCACGAGCTGCCTTTCCTGCACAGTACAGTGCCCAGCCCTTGAAGGGCTGCAGGGCACAGAGGGATGAGATGTTAACCACTGTCCTGCTGAGGCCAGGACTGCTGGGGAAGTACTTCAGGATGCTGGAGGTCAGGCAGAGCATGGAGGTCAAGTTCAGAGCCCAGTAGTTGTTCACTTCAGCTGGGTCACCCAGGTCCACGAAGCCTTTGGACACATCCCCAAGAGTGCCTGAAAAACGAGACCTTAGGTATAACCCAATGCAGTCGGGGCTTTCTCCTCCCCAGCTCTCCCCGAATTCCTCCAGACATCCCTTTCCCATACAGACCTAGAGAAGGAATCTGCCTACTACTTCTGAAGACGCTTCCCTCTTCCCCAGCTCTGCAGACAAACACACCTGGGGAACCTATCCACAACCAGCTGCAGACCGAAAAGTCACCTGCCTTGCTCTAGGAACTGGATTTACTCTACCGGCCACGTGGAGAAGCAAGAGTCTGTTTGGAAACCCCATGCCCTGACTCAGATCTCCGCCAGAGGGCGCTGAGCAAGGCGATCGGGAAAGTTCCACAGGCTTTTTAGAAAACCTGGCCAGGCAAACCCTGGAAGAGCGGGGGGAGAAGAAAACCCGACGGCACTGGGTCTTCCTCCTGCACACCTCGTCTCTGGTTGCGACTCAAGCTGGAACTAAGACTTTGAACTTTCAGGCGTCTTGCCTGACATTATCGAACTCGCCCTTAAATCCCCCAGCAGAGGGGGGAGGTGAGCGCTCAAATGGGGAGTCCGCCGCCAGCCCCTTGTGTCTTACCCGCGTTGTTGATAAGCAGCAGTCGCTGCAGCCCCTCGGGCCTGGGGAGCTCGCGCAGGGCGCCGAGCAGCTGCTGCAAGCCGGCCTCGGCGCCCAGGTCGGCGGGCACTCGCATCACGTGCAGGCCAGGCCGCCCAGCACCCAGCTCGGCCTCCAGCTGCTGCAGCGCCTGGTCGTTGCGGGCGTTTAGGACCAGCACCGAGCCAGGCGACAGCAGCCGGGCCAGAAGCGGGGCCAGAGCCCGGCCGAAGCCTCGGGAGGCTCCGGTCAGCACGCACACGGCGCGCCCCAGGCCGCCCTCCTTGCCGCTGCCACTCTCCATGCCACCGACCTCCGCCCGCCGGCGCTGGGATACGAGACCGGAGACCC